TACTACCTACACTACCAAACTTGCACTCTATATACCCTCAATATTTTCCAGATATCAACTGTATCTCATGTAACTCTCATGAAAGTCAAATGCACTGGCTTACATGCCCAAATGCATCTAATCTAAACACAATCATTACTAATACAATACAACACTTTCTGCAAACTTCTAGACTTGATATAACTAACACACAAATTCAAGAGCTACATGACAAACTTACTCACTATCTAAGCCTATCACTCACCTCCTAAATATGTAAATCAACAATTTGCTCTGATGAGCAATTTAATTTTACAGATCTAGATGATAGAGTAATAGTAACTATTAAGACTGATTTTGAAATTATGTGCAACTTTTCTAATTTTGATTTTTGAGCAAGCAGCTTTATCCAAAGGATATATTCAAACTCCTTCAAATTTAGAAGCTATTAAAAACTTTTTAAAATATATGGCACATGCATTGATAGTCCAAAAATCAGAGAAAGATAATAATATTAATGAAAAGGATAATGACGTTAATTGGAATTGGAACGAAATCAATTGGCCAGAAGTAGGAAGAAAATTATATATTATCTATAAAATGAATAAAGAGACAGGACCGTGTCATTGGCCCAAATATGATTTTATTAAAGACGTGATTGATATACCTAATAAAGAATTTGATCCTTATTTTGATAACACAAAAAGAGGAAATATCTCTGATGAACAACTTCATGTGTATTTTAAAAGTAAAAAAAAGAGAATACGCAAAAATTTTGATACTATTATTTGCACAAATGATGATAAAATAAAACATCAACTACGATATGCTACACTTCTAAAACCATTATTGATTCCATTATGGCATAGTCTTTCCATTTCTCCTTTAGCACTCCGATATATAGCTAATTCTATCTCGAACTTTTATAATTCATTTACCGCAAAGACTTACGTCATCTCTTCTGGATCAAGGCACGGTCATTCAGATACTTTGGTTCTTGTTGGAATTATTAAATCTGTCTTGGAAGATTTAAAGAAGAAAGAGAGATTTTATTAACTAATGGCTCGAAAGTTAATATGAATTTATTGTCTTCTATGATTGATGATTTATTAGAAAATAAGTCTAATGATATCCGAAAACTTTTAAGTCAACGTATTAAAATTTATACAATTAGTGACAGCTCTCATGAGATTAGCGTAAAGCTTTCTAATGGTGAATTGAACGATCATAAAAGTGCACACCTTTTAAGATGGGATTACTGATATACTTAAACGTAATAAAAATCTTCCAAATCAACCATTCAACAAACAAATCAAGTATGATATAAAAATTTCAAATCATGATCAGGATCCTCTTTGGCTTAACGTTGATCATTTAATGGCCTGTTTCGTTTTTGATATCTATCATGCCGTATCCGGATCAAATCGCGTACCGAATATCGGTGTCTAACGACAATAGCCATTATAATTTTATTGTCGAATTTGAATGGGTGATCGAAAATAAACACAATGAATTTTATTTAATAGATTTAAATACAGGGAAGGATCTCTATTATGCCTTTGATGAATCTACACCAAAGTTCAAAAAACAACCTACTAATGAAGGCGCCATAAAGTTCTGTTTCTCTGTGAATAATCCTACAAATCTGTCAATAAATAAAAGAAAGTGTGGAAACACTTTAAGGGACTTTTTGTTAGCAATAGGAGAGTTCGAAAGAAATGACAAAAATATAACATTGGCAATTAAGAACGCACTTAATGATATAATCGGCGCTTGTAATGTTGAAAAAGTATTTAAATCTCTTCCAAATAATTACGCAAACATTCTATCGCTCAAAGTGAATTAGATTCAAAAGTTGAGTGGGAAATTTCAGAAGATAAGTTGTTTGATATAAAAAATATTTTAATTAGGCCAAAAGAAGAAGAACTTTCAAAACTCGTTGATTATGTAGTAGCTATGCAGATAATTATTAAAAATCCAAGGCTCAATAATATGAAAATATCGATGAAAATTGATTTAAATAATAATGGATCAAAAAGCACATTAAAGTGGATACCAATGATAACAGACATGTCTAAAACAAAACTTATTTATGACTATCTTTTTAAATACAGATATCCTACGAAAAAGTGGAGAAATCTTTCTTTTGGTTATTTATGCTTGTTAATGATGCCTCAATTATTAGTGGTACAAGGTTTATTGAAAATTCCTTTGACTCTCATATCAAATACTTCATTATTAGATCGAAAGTCAATAAAGAAATTTCAGAAATTAATTTTAAACTGGCCCAATTGGGCTATAGTGACTGAAGCAACGTTTTTTTTTGGAAACCATAGTACCAGGAAATGTGTTAGACTTTCAACTTGATGGAATTCTGATTTCAAAAGTAACTGATGTTAAAATTAAAATTACTGATCCAGGTGTTATTAATGGTAACCCAAAAATTAAAATTACTGATCCAGGTGTTATTAATGGTAACCCAAAAATTATTATTAAAGCTTGTGCAAGTATTAGAGATATTAAATCTGTTAATATATTAACACAAAATGATAACATGCAATCCTTAATAATGGAATTTGATACTGGTACGACACTTACTCAAATTGCAAAAGCAATAAATGTTAGCAAAAATACATATGACAAACTTAATGTTCCTTTGTATGATATGCCTTTGAGTAACTTTTTAGAAAACATTCAACCGGAATTTAGTTTATTATTCTATCCAGTGACAGAACCTCCGACAATGGATTTTAAACTTAAAAATATTTGCATTTTTGCCAATAACTTCTTACTTACCCGAAATTTGCGCCCCCTAAAAATAACATATAAAGCTTCAAAATAACGCTCATGCGCGTCCTGAAATAACGCGCATCTTATAGTAAGGGTGCTTATTTACAACAAATACTCCGGAACTAGATTCACTCAGTATCAACCTAGCTCCGGAACATTTTTTTGTTTTAGACAAGATTCTTAAAATTTTTACATTTGTCTCAAAATAACGCACATCTGAGCGTTATTCCGCGAAAATACGGTATACGATAAAAAGGTAAAATATTTAGAACCTTACGCCTTAACTCGATACATGATTTCTATTAAGCCACAAAGTTTAGACGAAAGTAACATTACCATAAAGTTAGATGAAATATTAAATGCTATTGATTTATATGATTAATTCAAAGGGATCAATGAATTTGCACCAATTTTATGGAATTCTATAAAAGATGAACTGAAATGCAAAGTTCAAATACCTTGATTTGTTTATTAAAAATTGTCATAGTGATTTCCAACTTGGGATCACGATTTCGAACTTTATAATTAATGCAGGCGTTATCGAAGTTAAAGATGCGACTATTGACTTAGAACATAATGATGCAAAATGGATTGGAAAAATTAAAAGCATAGCCAAAATAATTGGAAAGGTTGGAACATACAATTGTTTTATAGAATACTAGTTAATATTATTTGTTAATATAATATAAAATATATTATTTGGTAGAAGATATATATAATCTGCTAATTATTAGCATAGCAATATATCTAAATTTTTGTAACTATTGTTATTTCTTACTAAGTATAACTTTGTAAAATTTATTGTAAATCCTAATATTATAAAAGCATATGCGAGGCATGAAAATTCATATTCAACATGATTCAAGTATACTTCAATCGGGAAGTCATTAACCAGCTTCCATACTTTTATCATATTCTGTAAAATTTCTATAATTGGTTGGGAACATACCGACGTTAGGGTTAAGGTTGATTAAAATTTGACCAGGTCATGAATTTCACAACACAGATAATTGTAATTGAAAAAAACTTAGGTATTAATAATATACATATATATATATAGTCGATTCTTTCTAAGAATATTTTCTAGTGCAAACGCCTTTTAAATGAATTCATATATATTCGAATGTGTACTTGGTAAAATCGATTCATTAGTGGGCTGACTTAATTCGAGTTTATCACGTGAGTCTTGTGATATTACAAAATTCACGTGATAAATTATTAAAACCGGTTCCAACCTCTAGGCTAGTGTTCGAAATCGGATTAAAAATCCCGGTTGATCCGGGATTGATCCGAATCCGATCCGAATCCGAAATTCGGATTGAATCCGTGAGTGATCCGTGCCAATCCGCGGTTTAGTCGAAATTTGGCACATAAATTGTGTCACAATATATGTGATAAATTCGAATATATCACATAAATTGTGACACAAATCGTGACATATTCGAATTTATCATGTGACAAATTCGATTTTATCTCACATAGTGATTATATAAAAAAGATGACCTAAAATTAGGCCCAATCCCGCTCAATCTGGCCCAATCCGAATTTTCTGGGCCAAAACTAATCTGACAGTTAGAATCTGCACAAAATCCGAATCCGATCCAATTTAACTTTTTCGAACACTACTCTAGGCTAACTGGTATCTTTATTACATCTTTAATGAATTGTGTAAAATGTTTCTATTTTTAGGTACATTTCCCTCTATTATTACAATGTCTCATTTGTTTAACAAATTAAAGAAATGCATTTATTTTTATTTAATTCTCAAGGGCGCACTGCGACGCTTTAGCTTATTATAACATTAAAAAAAATGAGAAAAATGAAGAAAATGGTAATTTTCTTCTGACCTGCAACCTGCAGCGCTATAAAGTTGTGAAATTTAGAGAAAAAAAAAACATAATTATTTTAGTTACTATACGAAAAAAAGTATGCAAATTTATAAATTTGCCTCACTTTCTTTCTTTTTCTTGAGCTTTTTGTGGACAAATTCATGTGTAAACGCACAGATTCCGCCTGTCCGTGAGATAGAAAGAGCCCCTCCTTCTCTGTGTTGTAGAGCAAGAACTACTACAATTTTGGCAGAGCCTGCTCCACAATAAACAACTACTAGCTATAATGGAAAGGTGTCTGAATGTTCTTATACTTATCCCATCTTTGAAATCCCCATTCCAACTACGCCTGCTTTTTTTTGTGCAGAGCAACTTTATTTTGCATGTTCTCCTAAAGAGCCCATAACTGTAACTATATCTAGCACTTTTGAAGCACTTGTTGCTAGTTGTAGAACAGTGGTCTCTAGAAATTCTTACCCACGAACTGTTGTAGCTACAATAACCTCTACTAGTTGCTTGGTTATCCCTACGCTAAACAAGTGAGCAGAAAATATTGCCACTCAGACTCAGTTCAGAGACAAGACACCTACTAAAGTGAGTAATCAGAAATATAGTTTTTTTTTAAAAAAAAAAAGAAAATCCAAATCTAATATATATATATATATATTTTAAAAAAACTATTGTACAGTAATTTTTTATATTATTTGATAATATTATATATAAAAGAGTTTTTATATTAAGTTGATATATAAACAAATTAGATTATTAAAATTAAGATTATTTTCTATTTCATCTATATCGTAAAAAATTACGTAGAATAATTTCATAACGATTTATTTCTTTTTATAACTATGATCATTTATCTCTTTCTTTAAAAGCATTAAAGCTATAATAATAAACTTTTGTATTATTAATTATTTTTTCACTATTATGCGAAGATATATTCAATGTTTATAAAATCTGTTTATTCTTGGAATTAACCTATATATCGAAAACATATGCTCAATTTATTCAATTTATGTAAAAATTTATGGTAAAACTTGTCAGCAAACAGACTTCCCTGAATATAAAAAAATGTTATTAGTAAGTTAAACTTCAATAATCATGTTTTTTTAAAGGAATAAAAGTTCAACACATGAAATTGCATATATAGAAAACTTGCTAAAGTCTTAGTTATTTCTCGAACTAGCAGGCTTTTTAAATGTTATTTCATTATATGACAATAAATATGCTTTAAAATATCATATTTGACTAGTAACTGAAATAACAAAATATGCATCGTACAATATAAATGTTGAGAACACCGAAATCAAAAACTTATCAAATTCGGTCACTATTTGTCAGTTATCCCAGAATTTATGAGAACAGCTATAAAATTTTTTCTTTGACTCAATAAACTACATGTCCTATTGGGGTGTGTAATATACTATGTAAATCAAAACTATATGTGGTCACTTATAGATTTTAATTAGTCTAGAGTTTTTATGAAAATATATAAAAACTGGGTCTCACTTTTTTAGATGCGCAGGTTGCACATTCTTTTTAGTAAAAATCTTTTGATATTAATTGGTTTGTTGTTATCATATCTATAATATTACAAAGCTTTTTTACATTATCTATAGGAACCCTATTTTTTACCAGGTCTTTTTTATGTGTAATTGCTACTTCATTTATTTAAAAATTTTTTTTTTGATAGAAAGCTTCGTAACTTTGTTTTTTAAACTTAACCTTAATATGTGCAAAATTTGGACTTATAATAACCAGTTTTAAGGGCTGTATATCTAATTAAATTTTTATAATATTCGAAATTTGCAATCAAAGAATATATCAATTGACTTTGTTTTACCAAAAATTTTCAATATTAAATTTTTATTTAGTACTATATATAGTTTTGATTTATATAGTATAAAAGTGTTAGTGGGGCGCCACTGGCGCCCTAAATACAATATGAGATACATACATATTTAATAATAAGCTCATAAAATTTAAATTTTTAAATTCTAGTACATACTTGTTTACCAGTATGGTAAGCGATTGGGTAGGGAGTATGGGTTTCCTATGAGACCTGAGGCTAGGACAATGGTTATTTAAGGGCCTTCAGGTTTGTTAGTAGTGTAATTTTTCTTTTTGTTATTGTTCGCCTTGTATTAAGGCTGGCTCTATCTTCCTCCCAAGGTGGCATACCTGTCCTTGCTGTATTCATAATTTGTTATTGGCTAGAAAGCCTTGCTTGGTAATAAGAAGAGGTTCTACAGCTGTTTCAATAATACAAAAACCTCCTGGTTAGGCACTATGGTTGCTTCAGCAATGCAAGAACCTCTAAGTTAGGTTCTGAGACTGTTTTGGCAGTGCAAGAACTACAAATTTAAACTCTGTGGCTGTTTTGGCAATGCAAAGACCATAAAGTTAGGCTCTGCGGCTGTCTGAGTGTGCAAAGATCTATATAGAATAGAGCATATAATATTATTATTGTAAGTACAATTTTACTATTATTATCTAATTCTCTATTATATGTGGAAGTGTGTTTTAGAAACTTGTAGAGCTAGGAGATATGGTCTGCGATTGCTTGTTTTCTTTAGGCTATGTTTGTTACAGTAGAGCCTTAAGACAGCAAATCTAATCTTATATGTGTTTTTATCAATTAATAATAAAGATAAAGTCTCTAATCAAGCAATAATAATCTGAAATTTCACACAATTATACATAATGATTTGGTAATTATATCATAACTGCATAGTATGCATATAACAAATCATAGTAGTTAAATGATATCATAAAGATCTGCATATTTTGTAATTTGATTATCACAATTACATATATATACTTAACATTAGTTTATATTAGAGATGTAAAAAGTTCAGTTCGGTTTGACTCAGCTCCAGAAGTCAAACCTTAATTTGTACTCAGTTCAGAATCAAACTCAAACAAAGACTCATTCTATCATGTAAAACTTGTGATACCATATATATAATGTATTTAAATGATACAAAATTTAGAATATTTAATTTTCTTGAAAACTTTTAATACAAAACTTTTTTTTTTTTTTTTTTTTTTAAGGTGAGGTTTTTCCTTTATCTTTATTTAATAATTTGTATTGAGAATCCACTAGGGGTTTCTCTGGTCTATAAGACCAATAATTACAAAT